CTGGCAAAAATGTTTCCCCACTGTCTCCCCAGGGTCCCACGGGATCGACAGCCCCCCCAGGCCGGTCATCCCGCTCTGGGTCTGGATGCTCCGCTCTGCAATGGTCCTGATGCTCCTCGTTTCAGCCCCTGTTGCAACTTTCCTACTGAAGAATGGCACCCAACGGCCACCCCATCCCACCGTGGATGGCAATGTCCCCGGAAAGGCGAACCCTAAACCATAGCTTCCTGCAGGCATTGCAGCTGTGCAGGGACAGGGAGACACGGGTACAGTGTTGGTCAGGGCTGGGTGGGGGGTGAAAATTTCCATGGCAAGGGCTTGCTGGGCTGTGAAGAGACTCCCTCCGCTCCAGACCCACCTCTGTTCACATCTTCTTCTACTCTGGAATGAAGGGAGCCCTGTAGAAAATTTCAGGGCTCACGGGTTACCTCTCTGTCTCTGTAGGTGGGATGATTTATAACATGCAGCTCAGCAAGGGTTAGCAGCAGTGCTCATGTGACAAAAGTGACCCTGACCCATCTACAGCCCTGAAGACCCATGGAAACCTGAAACAGTGTGGGGTGTGAAGGGAAGAGGGATGAGAGAGATACATCTGCTGAGGGCATTCTCTGGCGCAACCAAAGGACAGCAGAGGGTCTTTGGGGAAGGAGAGTTCGGGGCAGTGGAAAGCAACCCCCCGGGGATTTCTCCACATCACCCTGGGTGCAAGCCAGGGAAGATGGGCTATCCAAGGCACTCCCTGGGCCCTTTGTGTTGGATGCATCAGGCAGCAATTGCAGCCTAGGTGCAAATTTCACTTGCGGGTCACTGCTTCTGGGCAGGATGGTCGCTCTACTTTCAGAGGAGAGCCCTGGGCAGTGGCTCCAGGATGTTCAAAGCACCAGCTGTGTGCCATGGAAACAGCTCTTGCTCTGTGCAAAACCCCTGGAAAGGGCACGGGAAAGATAGATGTTTCTGGGACACCCAGCAGGGACTGTGCAGTTTTCTGCAAGAAGCCACTACAGGCCACTGGAGTGAAAGAAATAAAACTGTCTGCCTGGCCACAGCACGCATGACACTGTCATACCCAGCCCCTTGGTGATTTCTTTGTTTCTAACACTATGTTGTCACATTTTGTGTTTGAATAAACATCTTTAGTGAACAAAGCTGCTCAGATGGTCTGATGAGCTTCCATTGAGAAGGTGGATGTGGTTTTACTCCCCTAAATTTGCTGCTGGAAAGGGTAGGACAAAATAGCAGTGTGCAAGGAGCCACACAGAACAATATGAAATCCTTCTTCCCCCTGTCCTCAGACACCCTTCCTGCATCCCCCTGTGCCTGTCACTGCAGCCCTGGTCCTCCCCAAAATCACACTTCCAGCTAAAATCTTCAGTACCTTCTGGAGGTGACAAGTTGGGGCAGGGGAGGTGGGACATTCAGCACCTGAAACACTCTGATTTCTCACAGCAGGTAAAGGATGAAGGCAGCATCATGACTGCAAAAGTTGCTTGGGGCTGGGTTATCTGACTGCCGGTGGCAGTGCCATGGTGGGAAACCCCCTGTGAAACCTCTTGGGTGACAGCTTTCTTGGGTGGTGAGACGTGATTTTGCAGGAAAAGGTGGCTTTTGCAAGGAACGGTAGATTTTGCAGGGAAAGGTGGGCTTTGCAGGAAAAGCCAGGCTTTGCAGAACAAGATCTGCAAGCTTGTGCATGGTGGTGAGCACAGGGTTGTGGCTTCGCGCTGCCTCATGAGCATCCCTGTCGCTGCCCTTGACTGAGTGTGTGAGCTTTCCGCGTTCCCATTGTGTATCCTCCTCGGCTTACTCAGCTGCCGTTCAGGGGCTCGCCTGAGCCTGTTTACTATTGCTGCAGGTGCCCGAGGCACATGTTTTGCTCTCACAGGGCTGCCCAAAATAGAGCCCCTGTGGCTGGAAGATGAGATCAGGAAATGGGTGGGGGGGGTGGAAGAGTGACAAATATCTGAAGTGAGGAGGCTCATGAGGAGCACAGCAGTGCAGAGAGGGGCTGGAGGCAGCAAGCATCGAAACAAGCCCTGGGCATCCCCTGAATATGGATTACATCCTCTCCCCTGTGACAGTGTGTCTCTACCTACTGCTGCATGGTAGGTCACCAAGGTCTGAGGCAAATGTGGAAGGGGGATGCCACCAGGGGCTTGGAGCTGCCCACCAGGTGGGCAAGGGGAGCTGGAGCTGCCCCAGCTTTCCCCGGTGATGAACACGGGTGAGGTGAGAAGTGAAATGGAGCAAGAGGCCTTGCAGGACAAGGTGGAACTCCACACTTGCAACGCCAGGAGGGCCAGAGCTGGTTCTTGGAGAGAGAGTGAAGATTGCTCAGCTGCCAAGATTTTGCACCAGGCTGCCTCTCGCTCAGCACTGAACTCCTGTTCTTTGCTGTCTCCAGCTCCAAGGGCCAGCTGCCAGTTCTGCTCAGCCCCAGGAGAGTCTGCCTGCTGGCCATCGCCATTTTGCCAGCCTAGGCGTGGGGTCATGCAAAGGGAGAATGGGGTTGATGAGGATGTGGGGTCTGAAGACCTGCTTTGGCATGGAGAGATGCTAGCATAGCCCTTCCCAGTCCCTTAGCCCTGCCTTCAAATACATCCCTTGCTGCTGTCCAGGGTATTCCTTCCCAGACCCCTGGCATCCGTCCTCTGCTGCATGGGCAGATGTCTCCGGCTCACCCTCCACTTGTTCTGCTCCATACCCAGGTCATCTCCCAGCCCCCAGCATCTTTCTGAGCCCCACAGCAGCCCGGCTGGGTGAAACTGTGCAGCTCCAGTGCACGGTGGACACCAGCGGCCACATCCGCCGTATCATCTTCCGCCACAACGGGCAGGAGGCGAGTGCCATGAAGGGTGAAAAAAAGAGCATCTACAACCACTATGAGTGTGTGACCATGAGGTCCCAGCCAATGGAGTTTGCGGTGGGGAAATGACTCTTGCAAGGCCACATCTCACTGCACCAGTTGGCTGTGTCCTGTTGTGTGCACCACATCGAACAGGGTTTGCACCACGGTCCTGAAGCAGGATGTCATAGTGACGCTGGAAGGTATTTGGGGCAAATATCCAGTCCTGCCCTTGTGATGGAATAACCCCCTGCAAATACACAGGATGGAGACTGCAGACAGGGAAAGGAACTTCTTTGCAGAAAAAGATCTGAAGGTCCTGGAGAATAACACCAGTTGCCCTTGTAGCAAAGAAGGCCAACCATATAGAGGCTGCCTTTTGCAAATTTTTGAAATTCCCATTATCTGTCAGGAAAAAAAAAACCCATTAAATAGAATGAAAAGATAATTACCCCATGAGAGAACAGGTCCCTTGACCAGGGACCGGAGCAGTGGGGAACTGCCATCCTTGGAGATGTTCAAAACTCAGCCGGAAACAGCCCCAAGCAGTCTGCTCTAACCAAAGCTGCTTTGAGCAGGAGGTTGGAGAAGAGATTCCCCCAAAGCCCCTCATAGCCTAGTCCCATGATCCTATGAACTGATGGACTAAATTTGGTCAGACCTATGCAGAATTTCCCCTTCAACAGATTCCATATGAATCCCATGCCACGGTTGCCACCTGGGACTGCTGTACACGCCTACTAAAATCCTCTTACAATAATAATAATAGTAATAGTAGTAATAATAATAATAAATTTAAACTGAATGAACTTTTTCAAGGACTTTTTTTTTTGTGCTTGATGTTTTCTCACATCAGCCCTTCTTTCTCATTTCAATCTGAAAATTTGCTCAGCAGCCATGTGGAATTATTCACTCTTTTAAAAGCAGCCCTGGCCTTTGGGGATGAGAAAGGAACTTTGAAGAGGTGTAAAGTGGAGCGGTTGTTTGTCTGGCACAGTTTGCCCAGGGATTTTTGCACCCCAAGTCCCAGGAGCCAAGCTCTGTTTCCCGAGGATAGACCAGAGCTGGGTAGAAAAAAAATGCAATTCATAAGCAGAGGCAAAACTACACGAGGCAAAAATACCACAAAGAGAAAATGGGCAATTGAAGCTGCAAATACAATGCCGACTCGAAAGTCATTAACAAATGTCCTGCTTGTTTAAGCTGCAGCTGAAAGGCTAAGGAGCGTGAGAAAGCAGTGGGGGGGGAGTTTTCTAAATGCTACCTAGAGCTGAGGCTGCGAGGCCAGAGATGGTGAAACCTGAGGCCTGGAGAGATGAGACAGAGGCTCAGGGCTGGCTCAAAATAGCCCCAGGCGAGCGGGGGAACCGCGAGGCCCTGGCTGAGTTTCCTCCCTGCTGCTGCACTGAGCATGGGGGGACCACGGTGCAGGCAAAGTCTCTGCTTCATGGCCACCCTCCCTCTTCCCTTCCTGGATGCCACCTCCCTCCCTCCTGCCAACAACATCGTCGGCCAGGGCCAGTGAGGGATGGGGGTCAGAGTGAGGTCCTCAGCCCCAGCCTAGCAAAGGGGCACACTGGGGCTGCAGCAGCGTGCATTGGTCCCTGTGCTGGGAGCTGGCTCCTGCACTGCAGGGTGCACCGGTCTGTATCCTGGGTGCAGGCTCTTGTGCTGCAGGGTGCATTGGTCCCTGTGCGGAGAGCTGGTTGTTACACCGTAGAGTGCATTGATCCCTGTGCTAGGTGTTGGGTCTTGCATTGCAAGGTGCATTGGTCCCAATGCTGGGTGCTGGCTCTTGCACCACGGAGTGCACCAATGCACTCTGTGGTGCATTGGTCCCCAGCTGGGTGCTGGCACCCATCCCTCTCCCTAATTCCAGAGGCTCCTTGCTGCTCTGAGAGAGCTCCTTGCTCCAGGCAGCAAGGAGGAGAGCTCCTTGCAAGAATTTTTGGGTTAGACAACGGTGGGAATTTGCCAGCCCAGCAGTCTGCCAGCTCACAGAGGGCAATCTGAGCCATTTCCAGCTCCAGAAAAGCACAGACAGATCAAGTACCCCTTTTCGGCTCTGCTTTCCCCTGATCCCAGCTGGTGGGTCTGCCCTTGTGGTGCTCCCTTTGCCCTCTGGTCCTGGGCTGTGCAGGGAAGTGCCAGCAAGAAACGGTGGTGCTGATACTTCCTGGTGCTGTGCCAGGGTCAGAGTCCAAGACTGGGTGCAGTGCTGTTCGGGTGAGGAGCCTGGCAGAGCTGGGGCAGACAGCAGGGTCCTGGCTCCCGCAGGGAAGACCACCGGGTCCCTGCTGCTGGTGCTTTGGGCTCTGCTCCCCGAAAGTGGCCCAGTGCTGAGAGCACTGTTTGGAGTGTCCCTGCAGGCATGAAAGGAAGCTGAACCTCCCTTCCAAGTGGACTTGGCCCCGTTGCCCGGATGTCACAGTCTCATCAGCCTCAGCATGTGCTCCTACCTTGCAGCTTCCCTGAGTGACCTGGTGATGCAACGGATACTCTGCACGCTCGGCCTGGGACTGTCCCTCCTGGCACCACATCCTGGCTCTGGTAAACCTGTGCATTTCCCCACCTCACTCTCCCTGACCCCTTCTTTCCTGCCAGCTGCCGATCAGAGCGCATGGCGCCTTCCTAGACTCCAAGCCTGGAGCATGGGCTGTGCACGTGGTGCCTGGCTTTGCCCGCCC